TGGGGCTGGAACTGGGACTGCGTTGCTGAGTCTTGGGACTGGGTTGCTGCGGGCTGGCACTGGGTTGGTGCGTGCTGGGGTTGGGACTGGGTTGCTGCGTGCTGGGTCTGGGACTCCGTTGCTGCGTGCTGGGTCTGGGACTCCGTTGCTGCGTGCTGGGACTGGGCTGCCGGTATTGGGAGTCGGTTGCTGTGTCCTGGGGCTGGGTTGTTGCGTGCTGGGGCTGGGACTGGGTTGCTGTGTGCGGGGGCTGGGACTTGGCTGGCGTATAGTGGAGGTGGATGGTAGTGTTGATATGAGCTTTTGCGTCTTGTTTGCCCATAACATCGCCAGGGCATTTATTGTGATGGCGGTGGGTGCATCGTCGAGCGCGGCATCGGCGTCGGATATGGGCGACGCCTATATGGATTGTGACTATAATGATCGTTATCCAGGTGAGCCGAAGCGGCCATCTGATCATGAAATGTTAGAGGCGTGTGGTGAGCACATTAAGGATGACTCTGGTGTGAGATGGTCGGTCGATGAGTTGCTGCAATTGCTGTACATGAAGCAGCAGGAGGTTTACGCGATGAGGCGGCTGCTGGAGCAGCAGCAAAAGGGTCACGAGGAGGCGGTGACAAGGATGTTTCAGAAGATGAAATTGGACCCGTGTGGGGGGGCAGAAGCTGGGGAAAAGGCGAAGGGGGGGGAGAGGCGGGCGACAAAGAAGAGGGGTGCAGAGACGTCGGTGGAGGAGCTGAGGGAAGAAGTAGGCGTGGGTGAGGATGGGGGGCCCCCGATGGAAGGTACGCTGGGGTTGTTTGCAGTGTTCGCGCTTAATGTGTTAGGAGGCTGAGGGACACGATCGTGCATTTGGAAAGCAACAGAGATGACACGTTGTTCGATAATATGGTGTTTTGGAGGGAGAGGGCTGTCAGGCTGGATGTCCAGGTACGAAAATTGTTGACGATATCCGACGTCCGCGGGGACATGTGCATGTTGTCGACCTCGTTGTTCAAGGCTCCTAAGGCTAAGGATCTTCGGGAGATTGATAAGTCAGATGCACTGTCCGCCATGAGGTGCTTGGAGTGGCTGGCAGAAACGTTTCTTCAGCGAGCGATTATGGCAGAGGTCCAAATAGCGTTGAACTTCCCCTTAACGAAGGTGCAGGAGCAGAGCTCTATCGACTGTTTGTTTAATTTGTTGGTGCGGTCGATGCGTGGCCGCGAGCATTTGGCTAATATGATTTTGGCACAGCAATCCGTGTCGGCGGATTACACATTGACGCTGCAGCAGGCAGCGGACTTGGGGCGGTTAAAAAGTGTGATGGGTCGATGTCTTATGGTTTCAGGACGGGATCGTGCTGCCAGTGACGGTGAGAGGAGGGAGATTCAAACGCTGATTATAGAGCTCCTGTTGCTCCAAAAATCTCATGAGAAGCTGCAAAAGGAGTATAACTATTTGCATGTGCTCAGGTGCTTAGAGCGACGCTCACACTGTCCGAAGTGTGGGTGCTGTTTGGATGAGAGCAAGGGGGGTGGTTTGGCTGAGAGGAGACTGAGGGACGAGAAGATCCGAAAGCGGATCTTGGAGCTGAACAATGAGGAGGGGTACGGTGGGGCAGCGGTGAGGGCCGGGGGGATGCAGGGCATCTCATTCGACTCCAGATTTAGGGGTAGGGGTGTGAGAAATGCCTTGCGTGAGTACAGAAAGTCTATAGTGGAGACGGGTGCAAGGCTACGCAACTTCGATACCGAGCTGAGGGAGTTTGTGTGGGATTTCACCGCGGGGTTGGAGCTGGCGGCGGAGGTGGAGGCGGACGATGAGATGCCTCCGTTGGTGGACGTGCCGTTTGATGGGGAGGACGAGCGCCTTGACGAGTATTATGTGTAAGATGAGTTGCGCGGTCGTGGATTGTTCGCGGGCGGGCGTGTTCGGAGGTGGCGCCGGGCGTTGCAGATGTCTCTTGGCGATGCGCTGGATGTGTTTTTATATGTTTGTGACGATATATATATATATATATCGTCAAAAACCGTAGGCAGAGAGGGAGAAGAGGACAACAAACGAGGGGCTGTGACAAACTGTTTCGTCGGAGTTTCACCGACTCATCAGGAGGCTGAAATGTATATATACTTGAGCTTTCCAGATTGTGTGCTGTGGGTATACAGCATTGTTGATTGTGATGCGTCCATGGGGCCCCATGGAAAAAAAAAAAAAAAAAAAAAAAAAAAGGTTGTGTTGGCGGTGTCTCGGTGGGTCGTTGGGTGGTGGTAGTGGGTTGCTGGGTCGTGGGACCGGGTCGGTCGGTGGTGGCACTGGGTCGGTGGGTGGTGGCACTGGGTTGGCGGGTGGCGGCACTGGGTCGGTGGGTGGCGGCACTGGGTTGGTGGGTGGTGGGGTTCTTTTGGTGGCTTGGAGAAGTTTGCGGTTTGTGGGGGAGTCGGCCGTCGGATGCTGAATTCCGACAGTGTCGGTACTCCGAGAGTTCGGTACGGTAGGTGTAGGTAGGAGTGAGCGACTATTTTTGGGGTTTCAGTATGTTGGTTTTTGTGTTGCAGGTTTGTGAGGGGGGGAGGATTGGTGGACGGGATTGTCTGGAGGTGGCGTTGTGAGACGGTGACGATGGACGGGGGCCGTAGCCGGTGTATTGAGGTCGGCATAGCGGGGGCTTCCTCTGAGGGCTTAGCCGAGAGGGTGGTTGGGATTGGATGTGCTATTTTCAGGCTCGAGGCTGGGAGTCTTCGGTGGAACTGTCGGTTTTTGACGTTCTGTGTSCTTTGCACKTCTGTKGGTTGTCTATTTTTGAGGCTCKAGGCTSGGAGTCTTTGGTGGAACTGTCTGTATTTTCAGGCTGGAGRCTGGGACTTTCAGGCTGAGACTGTCRGTTGTCTATTTTTGAGGCTTTRGATTGCGCCGTGAATTGGTTCCTCGGAGGWGTCTATTTTTGACKCTCTGTGTCCTTTGCACGTCTGTGCATGGTTGTATTAAGGCGTCGAGTCTTAATGTGTCCAGTGTGCACTTTGTCTTCTCTCATGATGTTCTTATGCGTGTATGGCTGTGTATGAGATTGTCGGTGTGTGAGTGGCGGTGAGAATCGTCAGACAATGAAGTTCGTGCATTGTCCAAGCAGGGTTTGTACCATGGTTAGTGGTTATATATTGTACCGTTTTTGGGAAAAAGTGAGAAGTCCATTAAAGACCAAATATCGAGGCCGGGAATCCTCACAAACAACCCGGATAGACTCAAAAAAAAAAAAAAAAAAAAGAAAACCTTTTATTTATTGTCACAGTGTGAACAAGAGCGCAAAAGCGAGAAAGAGAAGAACAGCGGAGAAAACAAGAAGGGAGGGGAGGAGGCAAGGAAAGCTCCATGTGTTGATGACGTGTTACGTAGAAGGCCACTCATGTATACGGAGATGAGGGATTCGATTGCTGCGTGCTGGGACTCGGTTGCTGCGGGCTGGGACTCAGTTGCTGCGCGATGGGATTCGGTTGCTGCACGATGGGACTCAGGTGCTGCGGGATGGGATTCAGTTGCTGCGCGATGGGACTCGGTTACTGCGTGCTGGGACTCGGTTGCTGCGTGCTGGGACTCGGTTGCTGCGCGCTGGGGCTGGGTTTTGTGTGCTGGGACTCGGTTGCTGCGTGCTGGGATTCGATTGCTGCGTGCTGGGATTCGGTTGGTGCGTGCTGGGATTCGGTTGGTGCGTGCTGGGATTCGGTTGCTGCGGGCTGGGACTCAGTTGCTGCGCGATGGGATTCGGTTGCTGCGCGCCGGGACTCGGTTGGTGCGGGCTGGGATTCGGTTGCTGCGTGCTGGGACTCGGTTGGTGCGTGCTGGGGCTGGGTTGCTGCGTGGTGGGACTCGGTTGCTGCGTGCTGGGGCTCGGTTGCTGTGTGGTGGGGCTTGGTTGCTGCGTGCCGGGATTGGGTTGCTGCGTGCTGGGACTCGGTTGGTGCGGGCTGGGACTCGGTTGCTGCGCGATGGGATTCGGTTGCTGCGCGCGGGGACTCGGTTGCTGCGGGCGTGCTGGGGSTCCGTTGCTGTGTGCTGGGGCTCGGTTGCTGCGTGCTGGGACTCGGTTGCTGCATGGTGGGAGTCGGTTGCTGTCTGCTGGGGCTCGGTTTTGCGTGCTGGGGCTCGGCTGGTGTCTGCTGGGGCTCGGTTTTGCGTGCTGGGGCTCGGTTGCTGTCTGCTGGGGCTGGGTTTTGCGTGCTGGCGCTCGGTTTGCTGCGTGCTGGGGCTCGGTTGCTGCGTGCTGGGGCTCGGTTGCTGCGTGCTGGGGCTGGGTTGCTGCGTGCTGGGGTTGGGTTGCTGCGTGCTGGGACTCGGTTGCTGCGTGCCGGGACTCGGTTGCTGCGTCCTGGGACTCGGTTGCTGCGTGCCGGGACTCGGTTGCTGCGTNAAAAAAAAAAAAAAAAAAAAAAAAACAGTGTGAACAATAGCGCAAAAGCGAGAAAGAGAAGAAAGAAAAGCGGAGAAAACAAGAAGGGAGGGGAGGAGGCAAGGAAAGCTCCATGTGTTGATGACCTGTTACATAGAAGGCCACCCATGTATACGGAGATGAGGGTTTCTCTTTCATTGGTGTTGTTTTCAAAAGGTTGTTGGTCGTGTTGTGGAATGTTATATGGTCTTCGTTTCGGTGGTGCTTTTGTGGTTGTTAGTGGTTGGGGCTCGGGCCGTGGGTGCTAGGGGTGAGTGCGTGGGTGATGCGGTTAGGTCCGTGTTTGCTTGGATTGGGTAACTGGGTGGTCCGCTGGCTGGATGGAGTTGCTGCGTGCTGGGAATCGGTTGGTGGGTGTTGGGACTCGGTTGCTGCGTGTTGGGACTCAACTCGGTTGCTGCGTGCTGGGACTCGGTTGCTGCGTGCTGCGACTCCGTTGCTGCGTGCTGCGGGTGGGTTGCTGCGTGCTGGGACTCGGTTGCTGTGTGCTGGGACTCGGTTGCTGCATGGTGGGAGTTGGTTGTTGTCTGCTGGGGCTCGGTTTTGTGTGCTGGGGCTCGGTTGCTGCGTGCTGGGGCTCGGTTTGCTGCGTGCTGGGGCTCGGTTGCTGCGTGCTGGGGCTCGGTTGCTGCGTGCTGGGGCCCGGTTGCCGCGTGCTGGGGTTGGGTTGCTGCGTGCTGGGACTCGGTTGCTGCGTCCTGGGACTCGGTTGCTGCGTCCTGGGACTCGGTTGCTGCGTGCAGGGACTCGGTTGCTGCGCCGGGACTCGGTTGCTGCGTGCCGGGACTCGGTTGCTGCGTGCCGGGACTCGGTTGCTGCGTCCTGGGACTCGGTTGCTGCATGCCGGGACTCGGTTGTTGCGTCCTGGGACTCGGTGGCTGCGTCCTGGTACTCGGTTGCTGCGTGCTGGGACTCGGTTCCTCTGTGTGTGTGTGTGTGTGTGTGTGTGTGTGTGTGTGTGTGTGTGTGTGTGTGTGTGTGTGTGTGTGTATTGTATAGATGTATACATACTGATGATGTATTTTGTATGTTGTACCGTGTTATATGTATATAGGGACATGGGCTTCCTTCTTTCAACGGTGTTGTTTTGAAAGGGTTGTATTGTACCGTGTTATCTGGTCTTCGTTTCCATGGTAGTTTTGTGGTTCGTTGTGGTTAGGGAAAGGGGTTCGGTCCCCTTCGTCTTTCCATCCCGCTCCTCAATAAATAAAGCAGAAAATGGGATGACATGGAAATGAGAGTGTATATCTAGGTGTGGGGAGGTGGTGGACGTGCACCTTGGTGTGCGAAGGGAACTGATGCAATGGTTTGCGATTTGGTGTGGATGTCGTTGTTTGTTATCCTGTGGGACTGTTGGTCTTGCGTGGTTTGGATGCATCAAAAATGCCTTGCAGCGCGCTTATATCACATTAGATGCATAGGTTTCCCGTGCGAGTGCGACCCACGGGTTGTTGTCCTATCCTTGGTTCGCCAGAGTTTCGCGAGTAGACCAAAAAGTCGTGGTTCGTCGTTGGTTGACTGTGGTAGGCGGTCTTAGTGCTCTTTTGCGGAGGGGATCGTTTTTCTGCATGGTTGGGACGCAAATATGGATGCTGGGCAAGTGGGCAATGGTCAACGCCCTTTGCGGTCCGGGCCTTGGCGGGAAGCGCTTATGCTTCACAGGTCGTGCGATGATATCTCGCACGCTCCGCACGTGTTTCCGGACCACCTTCGATTACGGAGCGGTTCGTGCAATGATAGTGTAGATGCACGTGCGCAAGCCACTGGGGGCTTAGGGACGACGGTCCACGATATCCCGGAGGCGGGAGATTTGGTTGGGGTGGAAGGTGCGCACGGCGGTCGATGGACTGCTGTGGGCAATGGTCATTCCCGTGAGTCGGAGTCTTTGCCCTTCGATGCATCTGCGGCTGCGAATTTCCTGSCACAGGGTGGGTACGGGGTAGCTGGTCGTTCAACGGCACGTTCACGGGTCAATGCACAGACGTCGACGTTCACTACGCCTAGCTGCGGTCTTCAAGGCATTGCGCCGCGAAGTGGTGATCTTTCACCGCAGCCCGTGGCGGAACCCTTCTCCGCGCATGTTTCTGAAAGACTTGGGGTTTGGGCCGGGAAGCCGAAGAGGAGACGGTGTGAAATGCCGGTTACGGCGCCCTCTGGGGACGGTCGTAACAGAATGGATCGTACAGGGGCGCGAGCTTCGGTTGCACCGAATCCCGTTGATGCGATGGAGCGTCGTACGTGGGTTGGTGGTCCGTTGTGTCAGCCAGCTTACGAGGATATCACCAACTGCTCGACTCCTCGGTTTTCTCCAGAGTTCTTATTTTTACATTCGCTCCTTTTTTTTTCGGACACATCGTTGACGCGGGGTTCGGGATCGCGGGGCTCTCCCGTGGCCGGTAGGAACCTTCTTGCCCGTGATCGACGTTGCGCGGCGTTCGATGTGATTACGATGGCCGAAAAAAACACGTTGTCCTCGGGTAGCGGTGCGCGAAATCCGAGTATTCGATCGGGTGAACATGAGCGCACGGTTTGCAGAGGTGCACCGGGTGATTGGCGTGCCGCGGGGGTGTGTGACATGGGGAGCTGTCTGCCCCGCGGTGATACCTGTTTCGTAGACGAACGGGGGCACGAATGGCGGTTGAACGAGTGCACAGGCCGGACAGGAGGACAGCGGGGCGCCGTGCCTGAAGAGCGGAGGCGCAGCGATGAGTTTGGTGGTCGCCACGGTTGGCTCGAGGGGGGGTCTCTCGGGGCTGTGGTTCCTCCGGGTTGCTCGGTGTCGTGCCCCGGTACAGCTTCCACTGGAAGTGGAGCGGGAGCCCTCGTGTGTGCTGCAAAGTGTGCGAGGTGCTTGCTCTACGGCTCGCAGCTCCGACCGACTCGATGCGGAGGGGCGGTTTGCGGCTGCGGAAGCCGGGGTGGGCGGGGGGTTGTCCCGACCCCTCCGGAAGCGCAATGCGGGATTGTCACGACGACAGCGCAGTCTTATATCTCAGCTGGCCAGAGTGATTCCGCCGGCTTCTGCGTGCGTCGTCCGGAGTTCGGCCGATGGTCCCGTGGGTGGTGACAACACGGGTCGGTCGGTTGTGCGGGGGTCGGCATCGAGCGTGGCGATTGCGCGAGCGGCTTGTCGGTTGAGAGTGTCGAGGCGAGGGAAGCGCAGGGCGTCGGCACGTGCCGGGGGCAGCAGCGGCGAGCCCCTGAGGTTTCTCGATGCGCCTGCGGATTGCCATAGTCGGGGAGAGGGAAGGCGGAGGGGGGACGGGAACGTTGGGGTTGGAAGCGAGGTGGGTGTATCGGAAAGAGCATTGGGACGCTCGAGCGCGCAGGTGTGCGCTTTCGACCGCAGCTCCGAGCGGTTCGATGCGGAGGGGCGGTTTGCGGCTGCGGAAGCCAGGGTGGGCGGGGGGTTGTCTGGACCTCTCCGGAAGCGCAATGGGGGATTGTCACGACGACAGCGCGCTCTTATATCTCAGCTGGCCAGAGTGATTCCGCCGGCTTCTGCGTGCGTCGTGCGGAGTTCGGCCGATGTTCCCGTGGGTGGTGACAGCACGGGTCGGTCGGTTGGGCGGGGGTCGACATCGAGCATGGCCATTGCACGCGCGGCTCGTCGGTTGAGAGTGTCGAGGCGATGGAAGCGCAGGGCGTTGGCACGGGCCGGGGGCAGCAGCGGCGAGCCCCTGAGGTCTCTCGATGTGCCTGCGGGTTGCCATAGTCGGGGAGAGGGAAAGCGGAGGGGGCACGGGAACGTTGGGGTTGGAAGCGAGGTCGGTGTATCAGAAAGAGCATTGCGGCGCTCGAGTGCACAGGTGTGCGCTTCCGACCGCCGTTCGGACTTGGAGGGACATACGTCTGCGGTTGAGGGACGGGGCGAGGGGGCCGACGAACTCGGGATCGATGCCGGACCGTTCGGGGTTGGACGTAGGCGGGTTACGTTTCGGCTCCGTGGGTGGTGCATCCGAGGAGGTCGCTCGTGTGGCACCACCGCGTTTGCCTGTGCTGCCTTTTGCTGCTTACCGTTGCGCGATCTCGAACTGTGTGCAGATCTTTCGGAACGAGGGCACGTTGGATGCGTACAGTCTCGGGGAACGTTCGCCTTGCGCGCATTGCGGGGCTCTGCTTTGGCCGCATGAACATGTGTGGAAAACGATTTGTTGTAAAGGAGGCAGGATGAAGTGCCAATTGTGGGAGATGCCGGAGGAAGGAAGTGCGGCGCACTCGGTGCTGTCGCTATGGACAGAGGACTCTCGCGAGGGCAGGCTTTTGAGGGCGAATTCGCGTAGGTTCAACAACGCGTTGTGCCTCGTGTCTGCGCATATGAGGAAAGCGGAGCAGGGATTGCGAGGATTCGAAGGGCAGTTGAAGATCCAAGGGCCTGTGCACCATTGTCTTGGGCCGTTGGAGCCGGGGCTCGGCGAAAGGCCACAGTTCGCATAGATGTACGTTTACGACCCTGCTGACGTTGACGCTGTTACGGACATGCGAGTGGACACGATGCACCTTCGCGAGAGCACGACAGAGTGCGAGATCCAAGCAATTCGGCAGTTGCTTGCTCGCCTTCACGGACTTCTGCTGCAGTCCAATCCGTATGTGCGCGACTTTATAACGTATCACGAAATGCCTGCTGCTCGGTGTGATGGGGTGAGGATCGTTATTAACCCCCACGCGCGGCCACGCGGTGAGCACTAACGGCGGTACAACAAACCGGAAGGCCTGTTAGAGTTGTGCGTGCTGATTCCGGACCAGTTGTTGCCGAGCGAGGTGGAGGTGCGTTGTCGGGCGGAGGGCAGCGGAGGCTCTGTGGTAAGAAAGGTTGCCGATGACAACAGGGCGTACGACCCTTTGCATTATGTGCTTTTGTTTCCGGGTGGCGAGGATGGTTGGGACAGTTGGCCCGACCCTTCGAAAGGCAACCCCGAAAGCATGACCGCGAGACAATTCTATGCCCTCCATTTGCATGAGAGGTGTGGGGAGCGTACCACCCTGCTTTGCGCGAAGCGATTGCTTCAGGAGTACTGCTGCATGGCATACGCCAAGGTCGAGACTCGTCACTTGAACTACTTGGAGTTTAACCAGGAGAAAATGCGATGCGAACGGTACAAGGAACTGCGGAGAGCTGTGCACGAGAATGAACATGGCGACGGTGTGGGGACGAAGGTCTTTTTGCCTTCGACGTTCACTAGCGGGCCCCGTTACATGGCCGAGAAGTATTACGATGCCATGGCCGTTGTTCAAAAGCTCGTGAGACCCGATCTGTTCATTACAATGACTTCCAACAGCAACTGGCCTGAAATCTTGGATGCGCTGCTGCCGGGTCAGGTTCCCATCGACAGGCCGCACCTGTTGGCGCGTGTGTTTCGCGGTCACCTGAAGCAGCTGATACATGAAATAAAGGACAAGCGCGTGTTTGGAGCGGTGAGCGCGATCTTTTACACCGTCGAGTTCCAAAAACGGGGTCTTCCTCATGCACACATTCTGGTGATATTGGATAGAGGCCAAAAACTGTCCAATCCGGATGCGGTGGACGAAGTCATATCCGCCGAGATACCGCCGGACGGAGAGCTTCGCGAGAGGGTGTCGAAGTTCATGATCCATCAGACGTGTGGCGTTGGGAAGCCGTCCGCCGCCTGCACGACAAACAAACGCTGCACAAAACACTTCCCGAAACCGTTTGCGCGAAAAACTACCTTCCAGGCGGGGAAAGGGTATCCTGTTTACAGACGGTCCTCCACGGATGAAGGGGGTTGCACGCTTTGCGATGCCGGCATGGTGTACGACAATGGTCGAGTCGTGCCATATAACGGATACCTGCTACTGCGTTTCAACTCGCACATTAATGTCGAGTCGTGCGCTAACGTGCTCGCTTGCAAGTATCTGTACAAGTACATTTTGAAAGGGAACGACCGGGTTATGGTTGCGGAGTTGGAGAGACAGCACGCGCGCAACGAAATTCGTAAGTACCGGGACTTGCATTGCTTTGGCGCGAGCGAGGCTTGCTGGCGGATATTCGGATTCCCCGTAACCCAACAGTGGCCACCCGTCGAAAGGTTGGCCTTTCACTTGGAGGGCGACGAGACTGTCGTGTTTGAAGAAGGCGGCGAGGAGGCTGCAGTCGACGTCAGAGCGGGTCGCACAAAGTTCACTGCGTGGATGGAGCGGAACGAGGAGCTTCGACGCTCTGGCTGCGATCGTTTTCCGCTGTATTCCGATAACACGGAAACCCACACGTGGCACAAGCCTGAGAAGCGGTGGAAATTGCGGCGCTCGGGTGGTAGATTCGGAGCCTTTCCTAAGACCGGCCGGCTGCAGCGTGCGTGCCCGACTCAGGGGGACCTCTTCTACTTGCGCATACTCCTCGGGCATGAACATTCTCGTGGTGCAACGTCTTTCGCTGCCCTGAGAACGGTGGAGCAGCCGGAGTTGGGCACGTTTCGAGAAGTTTGCCAGTGCCTCCATCTTCTTGACGACGACTCGGAGTACGACAAGGATATGGAAACGGCGGCTCTTCATTACATGCCGCACCAGATCAGGCAAGTGTTCGCGATGCTGCTTGCGTACGGCCCGGTGTCCGACCCCATGCGCTGTTTTATAAGTACTGGGAGCCCATGTCCGAGGACTACGTGAGGAAGTTGAGGGGCATGAGTGGCACGCCGGGGGTTCTGCAATCGTTGGCGTTGTTGGACATTCACGTTCAGCTATTGGACATGAAAATGAGTATGGGAAGAGTTGGTTTGGCATTCCCCGACCCAGAGGCGCAGCGCGTTGCTGAGGAGCTGCGCGCTCGGATTCTCCTCGAGGGCTTGCCCGAGCTGATCCGAGAGGAGCTAATGTATGACAGGGCGGATATGGAGAGGCAGTGGGCAGCAAACTACCCTTTGCTTCGCCCTTCGCAAAAAGAGCTGGTCGATGGCGTTATGTCTGCTGTGCTCAATAGGAGTCCCCTGTGCGTTTTCGTCGATGCTCCTGCCGGAACAGGAAAGACCTTTTGCATTAACACGATATTTGCTGGCGTTCGTCGGCACGAAAACTGCATCGCTTTGGCGGTCGCGTCCAGCGGAATAGCGTCGCTTCTGCTTCCCGGCGGAAGAACATTCTACTCGCGGTTTCAGGCGCCTCTTCAACCGGATGCTAAGAAACCTTTTCCGATTCGAAGACAGAGCGAACTTGCACGGCTGATAAGAATGTGCAGCCTTATAGTGTGGGACGAGGCCGCGATGACGCACCGGGCGCAGTTGGAAGCTCTCGACCTCACCTTGCAAGATATCTGTCAATCGGACGAGCCCTTTGGTGGTAAGGTGCTGTTGCTGGCAGGCAACTTCAGGCAAGTTTTGCCGGTGGTGAGGAGGGGCAGTCGGGCTGAGCAAATCATGGCTTCCATAAAATCGTCGCCGTTGTGGGCACGCTTCAAGACGCACAGGCTGGACGAGAACATGAGGGTTCTGCGCCGTGGTGATGATGAGGTCGCAAGAAAGTTCGCTGCTTTCCTGCTGCGTGTGGGTGACGGGGAGCACGACGTCGTGGACCCCGCGGATCCCGAGACGATCGAGTTGCCACCGGAGATATGCATGGATCTGGATCTTGCTGCTCTCATCGACTGGACGTTTCCTGACCTCGGTCGGCATCTTCACGACCCCGACTACCTCACCGGCAGGTTTGTTTTTTTGCCCGAAGAACGACGCTGCGCACGTTATCAATAATATGATTTTGGATGGTCTGCCCCAGCTGGACATCGTGTACATGTCAGTCGACAGCGCGCCTACGGACTCCTACGGTTTGAATGTTCCGGTTGAGTACCTCAACAACTTGAATTGCTTGGGCTTGCCACCGCACGCGCTGCGGCTGAAGGAGGGGGTTCCGGTTATGTTGCTGAGAAACATCTGTGTGCACATGGGCATGTGCAACGACACTCGGCTGATCGTGAACAAGTCAGTGTCTAAACGGCTCATCCAAGCCACGATTCTGCCCACCCGCAAGATCGCGGTGATACCTCGGTTGACTCTGGACTCCGACGACTCGGCCGGCTTCCTGTGGAAGAGGCGACAATTCGCCTTGCGTGCTGCGTTTGCGATCACGATTAACAAGTCCCAGGGTCAGAGTGTGTCGAGGGCCGGTTTGTATCTTGAGAAACCTGTGTTCGGTCATGGTCAGCTCTACGTTGGTCTATCGCGTGCGGGGCATCTGGATGACATTCGTGTTGCGCTGCCTGGGGGTTCCACGAGAACGAAGAACGTCGTTTTCAAAGAGCTGCTGGCGTAGCGAGCTTTGCGAGTGCAGCCGTGGCAAGGGAGGGGGTTGGTTGTTGTTTGTGCCATCGTACATGTTCTATTGTTGGGATTGTCTATCTTCGCGTGCTGACCTTTTCTTCCTGTGGCTTTCTGTATGTTGTGTGTCCATGTTGTGTCAGATGCCTTTGGGTACAACACCTTTTGTTGGCAACGCGGCGCACGCTTCCACAGCTCCACGCGCACACAGCAATCGCTCCCTCCTTGAATGCGCTGTTTGTACTGATGATGGTGAATTCCTTGAGTACGATTACGACGAAGTGCCGGCGACGCTTGAGCCGGCCTCTGAGCCTGAACGCTGCAGTGCGGCGCGGGCCGAACCGGTGCAGGCGAGGGGCCCACTGGCTATCCACACTCTGGCCGGTGTGCTTCTGCTGGATATATACGAGGCAGGTGTGCAGCTAGGGGATTTATCGGGGGATGAGTCAGACGATTCCCTAAAGGGGGAGCGATCGTCGCCGATCCGATTTGGTTTTGGATGGGATGGAGCGCCTGCCGGTTGTGCCGGCCAGTCGGCTCCATGCGATGTGTCGGCAGGCAGGTCAGTGCAGCCCTCCACCGCTCCGGTGGCCGCTGCCGGCACAAGTGCTGGTACGGGGGGTGCGGACCGGGTGAGTAACGAGATGTGCGAAATCGATGACGAGAAGGCCAACTTAGGAACGCAGGTTACGCCGTGTAGAAAGCGCGTACAAATGTGCCAGCCGGACGGGGCTTCGGCGTTTGTTACCTACGTGCGACCTTCGCCTCCGGTTGTGCATGGTCGACGTCCGGCTTTGCAACGATTTGAATCTGCTCCGGCATGCCAACATTTCGAGCCGGCGTCAGCGTTTGCAATCCGGCCATGCGAGGTCGTCGTAGGGCCCAGTTTGAAGTCGGACGTTGCGCGTACACCCGAGCATTCGTCCTCGCTTGCGGCGACACAAGCAACTCACTCCGAGCACTCCGAAGGTATAGTGACGGGCGCGGCATGCGGACATTTCGAGCCGGCGTCAGCGTTTGCAATCCAGCCACGCGAGGTCGTTGTAGGGCCCAGCTTGACATCGGACGTTGCGAGAACACCCGACCATTCGTCCTTGCTTGCGGCGAGACAAGCAATTCACTCTCAGCACTCCGAAGGTATAGTCACGGGCCCGGAGATCATACCATCGTACGGCCGCAATGGTTTTCGGCCGGGTACGAAATTGGTTTATCAGGAGATCAGGCACCACGATCCGCCTATCTGGTTGGATAGGGAAGGCACTGTTGCTCTTGACCGGAAGACGCAGAGGATAGTCGAGTCTTGGACGGACATTCTTGACAGGGTGGGTAGGAGACGGATTCTGAACTGGATGCTCTTCGTGCTGTTCTTGGATGGAGAGCGGGTTGAGCTTACGGAACACATTTGGCTAGACTTTTTGCTTGCGAGAGGCAGGATCGAGCGCAGGTTTGTCTCGCGTCGTCGTGAATTAGTGTGCGATAACGGATCGCTGCAGGACTCGCATGAGCTTATCCAGGCCATCCTCCGGCATGAACATGTCACGAGGGCTGGATTTGTCGTTCGGACTCTTTGTGAAAGATTCGCAAAAGTTCACGACGATTACGTGCCGTTTGAGATCTATCGGTACGCTAGACTGGATGAAATTGCTTCGCGTCTGCCCGAGACGCCCAGGTCGTTGTGTCCTTATGTCAAGGCGTGTCACGGAGATTGCCCGATTGCGACATATGCACCGCCCGCGCACTGGGTTTCGCAGGCCTACATCCGCAGCTGAACTCGCAAGAGAACAGGCGACTCCGTCGCCGCGGAGGACGCGCGTGGCCAGTCGCCATTGACGTTCAGCGCGCCGGCGGCTAACTCTCCGATCACTCCACTGTCCGCTCCAGCTGCTTCGCATCGTCTGCAGCGGCGTTTGTTTCTCCCTCCGACACCCCCACCTTTCCCTCTTCCCCCGGTTGAGTCTGAGGCCGGATTCTCGGCTTGGGAACCGGTTTCTCGGCAAGTTCCCGCAGGGCCACCTGCGTGGATCCAATCGTTGTCTTCTGCTGGTCCTCACCACGTAGTCTCTGCCCTCTGTGCGATAGAGACTTCTCACAGGTTGCAACAGATAGGTGCTGTGCTGGCTGCGAAGAATGGAGCCTTTGATGACTGGAGTGCTGTTGAGGCCATGATGTTTGTGGATTATTATCGCCAAGGTCATGACAGTGTCGCCACCTTCGAAGAGTAGAAGACAGCTGCGGCGTCGTACATTGCCATGCAACACCGGCTGCGCCCTGTGGTGAAGCGAGAATGACGTGCGTTGCTTTGGTCGGTCGTTGGTCGTATCAGACGGCAATTTGATGGCGGCGCTGGGTGCAGTGAAGTAACGAGGGCAGCGAAGTCTGGGGGTTGAAAAGCTGGAGAGAGAGAGAGAGAGAGAGAGAGAGAGAGAGAGAGAGAGAGAGAGAGAGAGAGAGAGAGAGAGAGAGAGAGAGAGAGAGGCATATGTATGTTTAGCGGTATTCTGCTTGCTGAGATTGGCGGTTGTTATGAACAATGCATTTGTCTCCACGTGGTTACTCAGGTTGTTGTGCACTTTTGTTTTTTATTTCATTCATGTTACTTTCGGTGTTTGCATGAGCATGGATGCTTTGTTCACTTGTATTGTAATCTAACGAATCTGTTGTTGTTTTTGCCGATGCTGTTCTCGGGAAGACGAAATGGAACGAAATCAAATGGGAGCGTTCTAAGTATGTGGGGGTGTTGTGGGTTGAATGTACAGCTTGACTGGTGATCGTAGATGGTTGAGACAATACAACTGTGTTTACGTATGTGAAATCTCGCCTTAGCTCAAGCCGGTCGACGGGGGCTGGGGATCTCCGTTCTGTTTAAGGCCTGAACCCTAAACCCCCGTATCTGAAGTGTCGGTTTGGCTCAGGCTGGTGGAGGTGGTCTGGAGATCTCCCTTCTGTTTACACCCTGAACCCTAAACCCTCATCGGTTTTTGTGTTTTTTTTTTTTTTTTTCCGCCGTGCCTGGGGGACGTGCTTGCGCTGCCTGTTGCCCCCAAATATGGACGTTGCATCCCTGGCAGTGCATCCGGACACTTCCTTCCGTGAGGTTGAGCGATCTGTGACCAGCATTGACTACTGCTGCGGGAAAAAAAAAAAAAAAAAAAAAAAAAAGGGAAACAGTGAAAGAAATGTAAGATAGCAACAAACATTGTGAAACATTATGCTCACACAGAGAAAGATGTGCGATTCTTCATTGGGGTCCCAAGGGTGTTTGTCGTCGTCGGTTTTGTGGACCCCCTTGGCTCTTCGAATGCCCGAGTCCACCCGTTCCATGTTATCGGAACGCTTCTGCCAGATCGAGGGAGGTACAAGAGCTTTTAGCCCAGAGCTTGAAGTTGTGAATCTGCATTCCTAAGGACAGCTTCCCTGGGCAAATGTCGTGTCCGGACTAAAATGGAAAGTCGTTCTGTAAAAGTCACATCGAGGTACTAAGCGAACAGTCAAAATCGAGGCTGACTGATGGTCACTTCCTCGAATCTCATAGTCAAAGGTCAAAGGCGCAGTTAAGTCTCAGTCCCATTGGTCAAGTCACAGCAGAAGTCCAACATCCTGGCCCGACGTACTGCTGCTCACATTTCGGTCCGACAGGAAGTGGGCATGCGGTCCCGGGTACATTGTGACCAGATGGTGGCCCAGTGCAGCACCATTTAAGTGTTGACCTGGGCTGGTTGCTCATTCGCTGTCGTGCACCCTTCGTGCATTTCGTGCCGCACGTGAGGCGAGGAGGGACGCTGGTCGCAGTGTTGGCCGAGGAGGGACGCTGTAGTCGCAGTGTTGGCCGAGGAGGGACGCTGTAGTCGCAGTGTTGGCCGAGGAGGGACGCTGTAGTCGCAGTGTTGGCCGAGTACCTGCGCTGTTGGAACAGCGCCAGTCATACACAGACGATAGAGAGATAGAGATAGATAGATAGATAGATAGATAGATAGAGATAGATGGATAGATAGATAGATAGATAGATAGATAGATAGAGAGAGAGAGAGAGAGAGAGAGA